CCACTGCTGACCAAAGGTCTCTACTCGCACGAAGAAGATTTGAGCATTAACAACCACGCCTACTCAATGCAGGTCGGCGATTTCAAGCTTATAATTAGAAATTATAAGCCCAGGTTTCCTCACGAAGTTTTCCTTTTACCGTATTTGCTGTTGGTAGGTTTTGAACCAGCACTCTCATGCATGAGAAGCGGACGTCTTAACCTCCGGGCCACCACGACACGTCTGTCCCTCATCCCATATATCCCCAAGTGGTTACCGGTGACCGCTCTCCCCTAACTACATTATAGACCTTATTTCCATTGTTTAGAGACTACTTTTGTATGAACAAATTTAGGATGATTTTCAACTATTTTCAACGGGTATATATGAGGGACAAATGATATGATATTTACGTTATAGGTATTTCTAAACATGATTAACATCAACTTCCAGTTCTATCGCAATACGATCTTAATTATTAGAATTTTTGGCGTGTTTTGGAAATACAAGATCTTTTAATAGAGTATAATATTAAGTCATTTAGTACCATTAGTAGGTACTTAATCGGCTATTTAGATAAATCTATTCACTTATGGGGTCAGGTCTGATAACAAACAGGTTTGCCTAAAGTCGGTTTTCATCAATTCTAATACTACCTATAATGAGGTTCCGTAGTCAAAATTTTTTTCGTATTTTCAGTAAAAAGCAGGAATTGAAGTTAAGCGATTAGTAAATACTGCATTTGTGATTAAAGTTTAAAAAAGGCGAACATATTGTCACTTAAAAATGTTTGAAGCACCAAAATGTCAGTGGGTTTATTTATGTGTGCGTGTGTAAAGGTTTACCACGTTACCAGACTTAAGAATATGACAGATGTCCTTCGTGTCAATGTGTGTGTGTTCTGCGTGTAAGTCTATAGTAAGCAGGTGCCACAGTCGTTGTTTCAAGAGACTGTGTCCACCATTTTTTAACGTCCTTGGTTATGCTGTGAAGAGACTTATGTTCTGCTGTGAAGATATAAATAAATAGTTACAGGCATAGGATTCACGAAGTACGTACTAGAAAATATTAAAAATAGAATTTAGAACCTTATTCTTTGTAGTGTCGATTAATAATAATAATAATAATAATCTTTATTGTACACCAAATCAATAGAATATACATGTAAAGAAGATAAATAAAGAATAGTAGGGTACAAAGGCGGCCTTATCACTAAAAGCGATCTCTACCAGGCAACCTTTGGGTGAATGGAGCACTATTGTATGAAAGTGGAGGTTGTTCTAGGTGTACTCAGGTACTTATAAATTATATGTACAAGTAAAATATATTATTATATTCTCTAAATAAAATTATTTACTTACATAAAATACGTCATACAAACAAAAATATATATAAATATATACATACAACATATATAATATATACCTATACACATACATGCATAAATACATAAATAAAATGTAGCATGAACAATGAATAGACAACATTAAAAAAAAAAAAAAAAAAAAAAAAAACAAAGAGAGAAAAGAAAATAGTAATGCTAAATTACAACGTGGAGAGATAATGCTTTTTCACGAGTGCTTTGAATGCAACAAGTGACTCTGCTTGTCTTATAGAAAGTGGCAGAGCATTCCACAGTCGAACAGCTCGAACTGTAAAAGATCTGTCAAATGATCTGCTCGCATGCTGGGGCATCTCAAGCTTCATGTCCTCCGATGACCGTACTGGTCTAGAATGTGTGTCATGGAAGAACTGGAAACGTTCTTTAAGATAATGAGGGGTAGCAGGATTGAACAGTGTACTGTAGAGTAAAGATAAGATATGAGTATCCCGGCGAAGGCGGATCGGCAGCCACTTAAGCTTAGCACGATATTCGGAAATGTGGTCATATTTGCGTAAACCAAATATAAACCTTATACTGAAATTTTGGAGTCGCTCAAGTTTGTCTAACTGCACTTCGGTGAGATCCGGATAGCTGACGTCAGCATAATCAAGGATGGGGAGGAGAAGTGATTGAGTAAGCGCAATTTTAGTAGCAGTCGGAAGAAAGTTTCGAAGTCTACACAAAGATCTTGCAGACGCAAACATTTTCCGGCTGACTTGTCCCAGTTGAGATCCCCAAGAGAAGTCTCGGTCTATAACAATACCCAAGTCTTTTACTGTATCACTGTATGGTATTGTGGTACCATTAAAAACAATCGGAGGGATCTGCGACCATATAATTTTAGAGCGTAAACGGGGGCTACCGACAACAATGACCTGTGTCTTGGCGGGATTAACTTTCAAACCATAGGCCGTACTCCATTCCGAGATTCGTGCCAAGTCGGTATTCACCATCTTGACCGCCTCCGTGAATTCATTAGGGGGTGCCTGTGAGTAAATTTGCAGATCGTCAGCATACAAGTGGTAGGAAGATAGAAGTTTATTAGAGATGGAATTTATAAAAATTGCGAAGAGTAAAGGAGAAAGAACGCCCCCCTGCGGTACGCCAGCAGCCGTATCAGACCAGGAAGAGTATGAACCCTCAATGGCGACACGTTGCCGGCGGCCACACAGGTAACTACGAAAGAAATCAATCACAGTTGGAGATACGTTAAGAGAGCCCAGTATTCCAAGCAGTATATCAAAATCAACGGTGTTGAAGGCATTGCTAAAGTCTAGCAAGGTGAGCAGAGTTAGATTGCCGTTTTCAACACCGGATCGTATATCGTCAGTGATGTGGACTAGAGCCGTAGTGGTACTATGTCCCGGACGAAACCCGGATTGGTAAGGATTGAGGAGACTGTGTTTGGTAAGGAAAGCGCTTAGCTGGTTATAAACGTGACGTTCCAGAACTTTAGAAAGGAAAGGTAAAATAGAAATGGGGCGATAGTCAGAAAAGGATTCTGGATTACATTTTTTAGGAAGTGGTGTAACCTGCGCTTCCTTCCATGCAGAAGGGAAGACGCAGCTGGATAAGGAATAATTAAGGATGTGGCAAATGACAGGGAGGATTTCATCCAAGACAGGGAGTATCATTTTACGGCTGATGCAGTCACTCCCTACGGCATTGGAACTGATGGAAATTATACTCTTCCTAACGCCACAAGCTGTGAGTTGATTGAAGAAAAATGGTGGATAGTCGGGAGAAGGAAGACAAGAAAGATATTTTAAGGTTTTGGATTTCATTAACCCATTAATGTAGGGTGAGGAAGAAAAGTGCTTATTGAGGGATTCACAATCCAAGTTTTTAGAGGTACTATTCTGACGCTGCTTGCCAACTCCCATAGACCTCAAAAATGTCCAGACCTTGGCCGGATCGCCGTTTTGTACTGACTCATGAATATAGCGGCGTTGTGCATCCCTACACATCTTGTTGCTGCGATTCCGGGCTGCAATGTACTCTTCCCGGTTTTCTGGATTAGGTTGACGTTTAAATTTGGCCCTCGTCGCTGCTTTCCTATGAATCATGACCTTGATGTCATCTGTCAACCACGGCGCTGGTACGTGTTTGATTTTAACAGGTCGTATCGGGGCATGAATGTCATATAATTCAATGAGCTTTTTGTTGAAGACATTAACTTTCTCATCAATTGCTTCAGCGGCAAGAAGCTCAGTCCAATCTATGTTTCCGGCATCCTCACGAAGCCTCTCATGGTCCATGCCACCAAAATTGCGCTGAAGGAGTGTCTTTGGTCTAGATTTAGGAGGACAGATTTTGTACGAAAGAAAGATTAGGTCATGATAGGAAAAGTTGTCAGCAGAACATTGTCCGTGCTTGACAACGTGTTGATCGGACGAGACAAGGATAAGATCAAGAAGAGAAGGTGAACAGTTAGGAAAGTGGTGAGTGGCACTTAAAGGAAGAAGAGACAAATTGAATGATTGAGCAATGGATTGAAGTGAGGAGGAACGGGAATCTTGTTTCAGAAGACAGGTGTTAAAATCACCCATTATTATGCTGTAACTGTAGGAGGGAGTTAAGTTTAGCAGTAAATTTTCAAAAGAGGAAAAGTAGTCAATACGCAGAGAGGGACAGTAATAGACACCGAGCAATACTTTGGAATGCCGCATGGTTAATTCCAAGAAAAGATGTTCGCCAGCGTTCTGCGGCGGAGGCTGTGGTGACATATCGATTATTTTAAAGGAAATATTTGTGCGAAGGTATATGGCAACCCCACCACCGCCGCAGCCCGTGCGATCATTTCTTATCAACTGGTATCCAGGTAGAGAGTAGGAAGTGGAGGGAAGACAAGGTTTTAACCAAGATTCAGAGACAAGGATAGCATGGATATTCCTACAGTCAAGATTCGCCAGCATATCAGGGTAATGAGCCGGAATACTCTGTGCGTTTAAATGGACTACATTAAGATTTTTCGGTACATCGGAAAAATGAGACTCAAGCGTATCTGCAAGAGATGGCAAACTAAAAAGGCTGTCATTATTAGCATTCGTAGAAGTAAAACTTTCATCGACACTCTGCGTATCACCATTCATTATTCAATATTAAATAATAATATAATGTAATAAAATAAAATATATTAAAATATGTAAATATAGATCGAAAAAAAAAAAAAAAATTATAAAAAAAAAATAATAATAATAATATGGTATAAAGTGGTATGTGTAAAATTTTTACTTAGGTCCACCTGCCGGTTGCGTGTTATAATTTTGAGAGATAATCTACTTCTAACACCACCCCACAACACAATACTTCGTCCGGGCAAAAATCTGAGTGCAACGAACAAAAGAAAACAAAATATATAAATGTAATAACGGATAACATATACAATATTAGGAATAAAAACATTACATAAATATTATAAATAAAACATCATCTGCATTGATATTGTCTATAGTTTAATAGACTATTCACGCATCCGATGTCGAACGGAACGCAACTATTAACGTGACGTTTGACAAATGTCAAACGTCAGAAACAGTAAACAAAAGAACGGAAAAAAAAAACTATATCGATGATGAGTGAACAAAATATGGGAGTTGATTAAAATATTATATTATAAAAAAGGGGTAAAGTAAAATGTATACGTTATGAGGGGTAGATACGAAATAAATACATTAAGTAAGAATAAATATATCGTGAGGGTATTGGAATTGTTGCTACAAAGGAAATAAAAATGGATTTGTTAGTTGTTACCCGAACGAAGCAGGATCAATGGAGTCACTTTTTATTGGCACCGCGCTTCCCCCTCCGTGCCACAGCCGCAGGAGATCGCTCGGGGACTGCTGCAGGAGACTGCTCGGTGACTGCTGCAGACTCGCCGATCGCACGCAACTCGCCGAGACTCAGTATGCGGTGTCTGATGCCATCCGGTCCCAAAACGTAGATGTGGCCTCGCTTAGTCCAGCAGTTCGCCACACCGAACTTATCCCGCGCCGCCATGAAGACCTGGTGTCGTGTCTTCGTCAGGAACTCTGATATTGTGATACCCGTACCCTTGAGCTTGGCCTTGTTATACCACATCTTGTCTCGGGTATCCACGTCCTGTATCTTCACCAATATGGGTCTGGGCTTTGCTTTATTGGCGAAGCTGCCCACCCGGCGACATCTACGGACATCAGAGGTACCGAAGTTCCCCATACCGAGCTTTTCCTGTACCACACTAGCAACCACCAGTGAAGTGTTTTCGTTCTTATTCTCAGGGACTCCGTGGATCAGCAGCATCTTTCTGCGTCCTCGCATCTCCAGCGCATCCATGTCCCGGACAAAGAATTCCATCTGCCGCTGCAGGCAATCAAGTGCATCAAAAATGAACCTTTTGAAGGCCCAATAGTCTTGTGCCAGACCTGAGGTGCCGCCAGATGCAAGCTTGGATGGCGTACTGCAGTGCCCAGCCTCGAATCTTGACATTCGTTCTTTAAACTCTGCTCTCATCTCAGCCAGTGTTCCACTAACCGCCTCCACCGCGTCCATGTTGCCAAAGTTGATGCTGAAGTAGTCTTTCAAGTTCAGGAATTTGTGAAAAACACTATACCAGCAGGTAGTGCCTTTCAGTAAGTAGTAATGGTGGTAAATATTATTTATATTTAAAATAAAAATATTTTTGGGAGAGACGCTTTCCCTGTGTACTTTCACTCCGAACACCTACCCGCAAATCCCTAACGATTAACAAATACATAACGTGAAAAATGTGTAAGGAATTAACCAATAAACAGCGTAGAATACCATTAAAAGTAAACGTTTTACCGTGAGTAAACTTGATCCAAAGTTGGCAAGTTATTAAAACTTAGTAAACAGGTACGGTACTGTTAAGTGTGTGTAACTTTGAAAACATGTTTGTGTGAAACGTTATTCTAGGAAACTGACGTCTCACAGTAGATATAGTATGAAAAAGTTATATGAACGAGGTGAAAACTGAACATACGCTCATAAAGCTACACCCACTTTTCTCCAGCAGTAAAAGTGAGTAAAAGTTTCGTGTAATAAGTCGAGTCATTACCATTTACTGGCCATTCCATATTATTTCTCACTCTGAAAACATACATACATACATAACTTCACGCCTGTCTCCCATGGGGGTAGGCGTGAAGGCGTAATTTTTTATGTTTTTACTCAGAAAACATAAATAAAAAATCGACAAATACCTATTAAGAATCCTTGCCCTGTCAAGGAATTGGGATGATGACAGGGTATGAAAATTAAAAATCTAATTAGTCCGTAAGTTAGGTAATGAAAAAATATTAGACACGTATTTTTTTATTTTGTCGTATAATAAAACAATACTTAGATAAAACGAATCAAAGTTTAGGAGTGGGGGCTAAAACGTCATTTCTACGTATAAAATGTACATAGAAGTGACGTCACGCGACATTTCAAATCAATATATCGTCGAAAGTATTCGTTTCTGTAAGAAAATAAAAAATACGTGTCTAATGATTTAAAATAATCTACCAGACGGACATTAAAATAAAAATTAGGCATCTACCCTATT